AGTTTCTAGACCTCAACCAAAAGTGAGGTTAACAGTGGGTTGGGGGTGTGGTACAGTAGTAATTTGGTAATTACATATTGTACCCAAGGTTTCCTTTACTGTTCTGTCTAGCATTATAAATATGTTTGTATTTAACCCTAAGTGTTATCCCATTTTATGTATTTTGTACTCTTTTTTGAATATTAAAAGAAAGTCGTCGCTCTGCTCCCGAGGACGTAGGCATCTTTGCCAAACCTCATTAAATCTTTTTGTGCTCTTTTGGATTTGTGTCGATTCCTGTTTTTCTTGCCCTAATTTCCCAACAAAAATAAACCAAATATAAAATAATAACTGGTCGGTGTTGATAGGTCGGCGACATAACCCAAAAACAAAAAAAGGCGGCCTGATACCGCATAAGTACATACCTAGTCCTAATTCTATATATCAATATGATTTAGAATTAAGGTATGAGACATGAGTAAGAGCTCCTAGTCCCCATCACACTGTTTTGCCTGTCTGGCGCCTCTGAACTCGTGTCCGTACCTTATTTCTAATACAAGACTCTCCTAAGGACTCTAAAAGTACATAAAACCAGAGAAGACTTGGCCTTCATGAAAACAAGATTAGTGGGAAAGCCAAGAAACGTGTAACTCATATGAACCATGGCTGATGGGAGGAGCTAAGCAGCACCTGCAGAAAAAATTTAGTCATAATCATTACGTTGCTCCTCCCTCTTATACGTGAGGTGTTTATTTTAGGCATGATTCCTACAAGAAGGCCAGCCTAATATCCTACCATGCATATGCCTAGCCAGGGCAACCAAATCAGTACATAACCATATCCAAGATATCGAAAAAAATACCTAGTATTCTAGTCCTTAGTTTAGCACATCATTTAACGTAGTGTCCTAACAACATCTAAGTGAGTGCAGGATTATGTCAGCATATTAGAGTATGTTTTGACAGGGTTGCCGTCACCGACCCTATTATAAGGATCTAAGGATTCTAAAAGGTGCCACTAGATGCAAGTTTTGAAAAGCTTTTGAAAAATTGACCTCACTTACGATCAAATCTAAGTATGCAATTAATCTCAAAATAGATTTTGAATGTATGATGCAGATATAACAAAAAAAAAATTAATTTTTTTTATACTTTTAAAATAGTTTCTAAAAAACAAAAGCCTAAGTGACACCTATTAGACCCCTTGGAACCTTAGCACAATATACGTGTGTTAATCATGTTAACATAACTAATATTGTCCACCGAGACATCCCCGTGGGCAATACTAGTTGCTTTGTCATAGCTAACAGAGAGTTACTTAGCCAACGAGCTAGTTTCGTCATAGAGACAATCAGAAAAACACATGTGAATGCAAAGTGATTGAATGATGACAAACATTCACCATTAGAATACAATGCGTACACTAATGACAAACACGCCGACAAGTGTCGAATGATGCGTGCAAAACATAAAACACAAGTGGAGATGAGTGTGTCGTGAAGTCAGTGACTCAGAGAATGGGTGTGCGTGAAAGCAATATTACCAGAGGGTAGGTGTGTCATAGAGGCAGTGACCCGGAGGGTGGGTGTGTCGTGGAGATAGTGGTCCGGAGGATGGGTGTGTCGTGAAGATAGTGACCCAAAGGGTGGGTGTACCGTAAAGACAGTGACCTGGAGGGTTAGTGTGTCATGAAGATGGTGACCTGAAAGATGGGTGTGCCATGGTAGTGATTCGGAGGATGGGTGTGTCATGGAGACAGTGATCCAAAGGGGTGGGTGCACCGTGGAGGCAGCGACCCGAAAGATGGGTATGCCGTGAAAACAGTGACTCAGAGGGATGGGTGTACCGTGGAGGCAGTGACCCAGAGGATTGGGTGTGTCGTGGAGACAGTGATCCGTAGGGTAGGTGTGTCGTGGAAGCAGTGACCCAGAGGAGTGGCTGCACTGTAAAGACAGTGACCCCGAGAATGAGGGTGCCATGGAGACAGTGACCTAGAATGGTGGGTGTACCGTTGAGACAGTGATTTGGAGTGTGAGTGTATCGTGGAGACAATGACCCAGAGGGTGGGTATGTCATGGAGACAGTGACCCGGAGGGGTGAGTGTACTATGGAGACAGTGATCGGTGTGTAATGCATATAGTGACTACGACTATCCAGAGAGGCATCGTAGGGAGTGAAAGTATGCAATTCCCATTGGAGAGAATTGAACGATGGGTCAGCTCGATGGCTAGCCATTCGTTCACATGATGTGTGAATGTGAGAGAAAAGTTTGTGAGGACACAAACCCAAACGCAAAAAATGTGAATGCAAATGCAAAGTGTGTTCATTGATTCTTCCAAAACTATTTTGACAAGCCTGCATACAACCTCATACTGACACGCTCTGTGATGGTTAGATTCATACGCTTAGCCAAACAATTTTGTTGTGGTTTCTTTGGAACTGTGAACTAATGTTTGATTCCTTCTGATGCACAATAGTTCTTGAATCTTTGATCATGATATTTATCATCATTATCTGATCTGAGATACTTCAACTTCAAGTTTGTCTTATTTTCAACCATGACATCCCATTTTTTAAACACCTCAACTGCATTAGGTGTTTCAACAAGTACACCCATACCTTTGGTGTGATCATTAATGAAAGCAATAAAGTATTGAAAACCTCAAATAGACTGAACTCAAATTCCCCGTTTGTTTGGTTTACCACAAGCTATGTGCCCGATTTTACAACAAGGATCTGGGTACCCATCTTGTGGACCAGACACTGGCCGGCGATCAGGGCTTGGAATTCTGTCTGGGTGTTTGTCACATCGAAGTCCACAACCATTGAATGATACAAGTGTTCTCCCGCTGGAAGGCAAGCCCTAGTCCCGCTCCGTCTCTTTTTGAGGCACCATCCTCGCCATTTCTATCGTTTTCTTTGACTTTCTTTGTCCGGCTTCTCCTGTTTTGATAAGTCTGTCAGGAAATTTGTGACTACCTGTGCTTTAATAGCCGTCCGAGGAACGTAAGTGATATCAAACTCACTTAGTTCCACTCCCCACTTGAGTAGTCGATCGAAATGTTCTGGTCAGGCAAGCACCGACTTTAGCGGATGATATGTAATCACCCGGATGGGATGCGTTTGGAAGAAGAGTCACAACCTGCTGGTTGACACAATTAGAGCAAATTTTAGTTTCTCCATAATCGAATACCTGACCTCCGCTCCACGGAGAATACAACTAGTATAGTAGACTGGGAATTGCTTCTCTGATTCTTCCCGGATCAGTACCGAACTGATCGCTTCAGTTCCCACTCCTAAGTACAAAGAGTGTTCCCCATTAGGCTTTCGAATTTGGAGGAGTGGCGATGATGCTAGAGAACCCTTTAGGTTTTGGAAAACTTGTTGGAATTCATCTTTCCACCTGAAACTTTTGGCTTTTTTGGAGAGTTTTAAAGAAGGTCACACATGTCGCTTGACCTCGAAATTAACTGGCTCAAAGTTGTGATCTAGCCAGTAGTTTTTGATCTTTTCTGGTATTCCGTGAGGGGTGCACATTTATCAACGTCCGGATCTTGTCCGGGTTTGCTTTTATACCTTCAAGGAAAGTTAACATATGAATTTGTCTGTTGACTCTCCAAATGTACATTTTAAGTGGTTCAATTTCATTATATTTTCTAAGGGTTTGGATAGTTTCGATTCAGCATCCTAGTGGGATGATTTTCTTCGCACCTCTTGCAAATCTTGTTTATTTGAGGCAGGGGACCACCTTCATAGCCTCTTACGACTTGAGCTTTGAGAATGGGTTTTTGGAGATTTCTCGAGAGGGAGAAGTAGCTTTGTTTGTTGATCCTTGAAGAGAGACTCAAGTCAAGAGTGAGATCTCTAGAATGCTTGTCCCAGATGACAGGTTTGGAGAGTTATTTTTATTTTTCTTTTGGAATGCTCTCTGGAAGGAGATGCTACCTTAAGGTAGAAAAAATTATTTTTACTCATGAAGAGAGAGAGAGAGAGAGAGAGAGAGAGAGAGAGAGAGAGAGAGAGAGAGATTTGATTATTATATTTTCTTTCTTCCTCCCTTTTAATATTTTTGTTTTCTTCTTTAATGAAAAATAAAGAGAGTGCTTATCTTTTTCTTATTCTCCTATACAAGACATTGTTTTTTGGAGTGAAGAGAGGTGGTCTCCGTGTTCGGCAACCTCTTTTATTTCACACAAATGAGGTTGCAATGTGAGGGTGAAGGAGAGCAATTTATAAGGGGGGGGAGGGAGAGTCTAAAGGGACTCCATTTACATCCAAGTTGTCCCCTATTTATAGAGAGAAAAGGGGAAATTTATATATATGCCCCTGTTTGGGTGGGGGGGTCGCAAGTGGTAATTTAGTCCAGATCCATCTTTGCTAGCGTTGGGTGGTTGACCCAAGTTGTCCTGCTCGGAGGTGGCCAGCCTAAGTTGGCTTGCCGGCAAGAGTTAGTTGGCCCAACTGTGGCATGTCTCCGACGGCGAATTCTTCTACTCGGCGAGGCCTTATTTTTTTAGGCTATACAATATGTCAATATATATATAGTGTAGCTTTCTCTGTTGATTATTTGTCTAATCTGCTTTCTTCGACTCCTTCACAGGTGGATAGGAGATACAAGCAATACTTCAACGAAATGCAAATTGTTGATTCATCTTTTGATGCAATAGCAGGCTCCGGTGCTGCAAAACCTTACACCTCTCTTGCCCTTCAAACAATCTCTCGCCATTTTCGCAGCCTCAGAGACACCATCGGCAGCCAAATCAGATCTTCGCGGAAGCTTCTGGGGGAGCAAGATGGCTCCAATGGAAGAGGATGCGGAATTTCTAGTCTTCGCAACATTGATCAACACATAAGGCAGCAGAAGGTCATGCAGCAGCTTGGTGTGATGCCACAACATGCTTGGAGGCCTCAGAGAGGGCTGCCTGAGAACTCTGTTTCCATTTTACGAGCTTGGCTCTTCGAACACTTTCTTCATCCGTATCTCTCCTAAACCACATTTAACATTCTTCCTTGATTTTTGAACTGTATTTTCTGTGTATTATGTTGTGATGATTGTCATGTGGTGTGCTTTTTCTTTCTTCAGCTACCCAAATGATTCTGAAAAACTGATGTTAGCAAGACAAACTGGCTTGACAAGAAGTCAGGTATGTTTTCAATCAATCAATCTTTCAACATTCAATAAAAAGAGCAATGTCAAAACAGTCTCGTGACTGTTTACCTGAACTATTTCAGCCCCTATTAAAAGAGTGTGGGACTAAATTGTTACTTTATATTTGTGGGACTAAAAGAACTCCGACTATTTGGTTCTCTAAAAACAACAAACTTCCACTTTTATCTTGTCATTTTTGCAAAACATTTTCTTTAAATGATCAATTCTCCTCTTTTTTTTCCCTCCATAAGAAAGAACTGAAAGTCTTCAAACATTGAATCAACTCTGATAGATTTCAAATTGGTTCATCAACGCCCGCGTTCGTCTTTGGAAGCCGATGGTCGAGGATATCTACAAAGAAGAGTTTGGCGAGAACAACACAAATTCAAATTCTTCCTCCGAAATGGCAGCTATATACATAGATGAACTCTGCAAGAATGCACAGGAAAACCAACAAAGTTCTCCAAATGAGAGATGCCACACCAATCAATCAAGCCAACTGAACCAGATATCACAATCTAATGCCGCCACCGCCGCTCAAGTTCCCGGTTTTCAAACTGAGCCAATGAATCAAAGGCTCCTGACCTATATGGTGAATGAGCTCGAAATGTACAACAATGGCGGCAGAGTGTCTCTCACGCTGGGTTTGCAGCATTCAGATGTGCAGGAAGGATTTCTTTCTTCAAGGGGTGCGGATGAGGAAATGTATAGTACAAGAACTTCAATTGGTTTTGGTTCTTCTCAGTTACTGAATTATTTTGTGGCTTGATTGCTTATTGTTTCTGTGATTTGTTGGCAGATGAAGAGGATTACAGTTTGTTCTGATTTGTTGTATTATTTTTGCATTTGTTAGTCATAGATGATGGAAAGGTTATATTGTGATGTGTGGGATATGTATGAAACATAGAATGTTGTAAAAAGGTAATATGAATAAATCATAGATGATTATTTTTGTCTGAAAAGTGGTGAAGGGAATAATAAAGAAGTTTGTTTTGGTTAATTTTGAGATATGTTATGGAACATTATGTAGCACTCAATTCTTATGTATTTATATATATAACACATAAAGGTTGATATTTCTTTGGGGCAATTACAGACAGACCCTCCGAAACTTGTTATTTACATCACCTGGGTGATTCATTTATAAATATCAATGTTTCAGACGGCCGACATGTATTTATCCCAGTTTTAATGTCATGATCACATCAAAGCGTACGTATGGGAAGTGTTTTATTTTAAAAAATTTTAATATTTGTTTTAATTTTTTGTTTCAAAATAGTGATAATATGATCTTTATTTTTTCATATCACCAGTTCTGATGTTAGCTAAATGTATCCGGATCTAACTACTAGCTACACCAATTATTGCAATTTAATGTTAATTCATGAAGTAGATCATGAGAAACGAGAAGGTCAAATTTGTAGCTATCCATGCAACATTCTAAAAGTTGTTTAATACCATGAACTGAAAACTACAAGCTAACTGTTAATGGGTGCTGATATATTCATTGTTGCTCTTGTATTGCATGTAATCAATTTAATTATTTAATTTGTAATAATTTTGTAAAAAAAATTTTCATAACTAGATGACAGTGCAGGAAATCCAATATAGTGATATTCTTCACTTTGTTTGCAACCAATGTGTCATGCATTTAAGCACTATAGGAATGACACTGTTAATAGAGTCACGACGAGAAGGCCAACACGTAATGCGTAAAAGAGGTGACAGTGAAAGCCGACGAGGTACAGGGGAGGGTGCTCGCCGACGAGGTACAAGTGAACTTCAAGTCTTTCTATTGCAATTAGAATCACTCATATTGCATTATTCAACCAAGTGGCTTAACACTTTTTCAACCAAGTATGCACTATATTGTCAAGATAACTTGCAAAGCACCACAACATCAAACCTCCATTGTTGTTAGTTTTTTTGACATGAGCATAAAACAGGACTTCGTTTACTATAAAGTCATATATTTATTTACAATATGCACTTTTGATCTTGATGTTGTTTTGATGGAATACAAATCAATATAGGACAGAGAGAGAGAGAGAGAGAGAGAGTGAAGAGAGTTGAGAGGAGGATAATTGAGATGGATCAAGAAGTGTTAAGCTTCTTTGGTTATTATACATTTATTGTTTCTTGATATATTAATATAAGAGAAGTGTCAAAATAGTCCCTTATGTGCTATAGGTCATTTTAATCTTGAAGTCTATAAAAATATTAATTTAGTCTCATATTCTTTTAACATCGGTTGAAATAGTCTTTCATGGAGATTATTTCTATCCATATCAACAAAGTCTAAGAATTTATTTGACACGTTATACACTTGAAATTACAAGGTCTTCATCTAAATAACCTTGAGACTATTTTGGCATTTTACCTATTAATAGTGGTTATATCTCTAATTTATGACACAGATTACCATTATTAGAATTAATAAAGATAGGCCAATTTAAGAAAAGAAATAACATGCATTTAATGACCCTTATGGGGGGTCATGTTATATAAGGATTTGCTGCAGAGGAGCTTATAGAAGAAACGTGTGTGATTCTTTTGTAAAACAATATGATTTTCATAGTGAATTTGTGGTGATGGGGCTTCGTGATTTTTTCCCCATTCTCGGGTTTTCTCACGTAACTTCTCGTGTATTTTTCTGATTGTTTTGATTTGCTTATATGCTAAAATTTATTGTTATGGTTTTCTCGAATCTTGTGATCCTATTTCACGGTGAAATTATAAAGAGATTCTTTCAGAATAGTTTTTCCCAACAAACCTCCATTAATATGATTTTGTAGTAAAGTGTGCTTTATATCCTTAAGCCAATTTTGGCTAAACCACTTTCAATTTCACATATGCCAAACCCTAATGATTCAAATTGGGCCACAAATGAGCTCATTATGATCAATTTTCTAACCCTATTGAGCCCTTAATCAGAGTTGTGCACTATTTGCTAAAAAACCAAAAAAAACTGGACGGAATCGAATAAGTTTAGTTGATTTTGCTCAGTTTCAAAAACACATTTTGATTTTTTATTTTCTTAAAACCTCATATTCGATTTTTAGTTATTAGTTATATTTTGAGTTTCATTTAACCAAACAAATCAAAATTTTGAAATTTCCATATTAAATAGAAGATTCATGAGATTAAATCAATATTATATATGTAATATATGCAATTCTTGATGTCCATTCATAACCCAATTCCAACCACTAATTACATTTTCGTTAGCATAAAATTAAACCGTTTAAACAGAATTAACATTTTGTTCGGTTTTATAAAATTTTGATTGATTCAATTTGTCAGATTTCCAATTTCGGTTGCAATCAATTTAACGAATTTTAAAATCAATCCATCCAAACCAACCAAATACTCACATTTGACTATTAATACTATGACTTTATTGAAGAACTTGTGCAACCCTATTTTGGCCTCTAGTGTTCTTGCTCTTAGATGTCCACGTCATGCTGATTCATTATATGTTTTTTTTTCTATTTAATTTGTCTCATTTCAATTTTTATATTGATTTTAATTTTCTTTCATGTTTCCTATGACAATGTAGTTTGATTAATTTTTTGGTAAGTTTAGGTTGTTGAATTTTGGATAATGAAAAAAAATGCAAGCAATATTGTATAAAAATCCTCTTGTTAATTAATTTGACATTTTGTACCCAAAAGGTCCACAATTTAAAAAAAATGTTATTGTATCTTTGGAGTTATCCGTTTGACAAATTAAATTTGAAAAAAAATATATTTTTTTTCTAAGATTTGCATACATACTACTCAATTTGTATGTATTTATATATGTAATATTAAAATTTTAATTATTACAAATATATGCCAAATTATTTTTGCATAAAAACGTGTAATTGTCCAATTGTTGTGATATGAGAGTGTTCTTTGACGAAGCGAAAATATAACAAGAAAATTCACATCAGAAAACATTAACACAGCGAAACACATAGATTTACGTGGTTCGGCAAATTGCCTATGTCCACGGAATTGTAGAGGATTTTCTACTTGAAGAATTTACACTAGTTGATCGTTTCGACTTACAAGAGCAATCTCTCTCTTCGTTGCTATCTCTTCTTCTCTCTCTTTTCTTCTCTCTCTACACCGAGATACATTCAAGAAAACTTTACACCGAGATAAACCGAAGATGATAAACTTACAAGAGAAATAACCTTAGTTTCTCTTCTGTCAAAACTCGCCAAGAAGAAGTCAAGGGAGAACAATCTTCTTTTTTTTTCTTCTTCTTCTTTTTTCTGTAAAGTACACACACTGCTTGCACTTCTCTTCCTCTATCCCGAGGAAGCCCGAAGAACTCTTCCTCTTTCCCGAGGAAACCCGAAGAAGAACTAAAAAACGTGACTTATAAACTACAGGAGGTCGCTCCTTTTCAAGATAAAAGGAGGCGAAGCGATGCTTCCGGGCTAAGGAAAGACGAGAGACACGAACGAAGGCGGGAAACGCAAGCTGAGGCGGGAGAGGTTCGCGTAACAGCAGGGGTCGCAGGAGATGTCGCGACGATTCGCGACAAAGGAGCAGGAGTTTCGCGATCGGCATAGGGAGGCGGGAGCGAAGAGCGATCGGACCGGGCTCCACACTAGCAGTAATTCATTTTGTAAGGGTTTTAATAGTGATACTTTTTATGTGATTCAAATGGTTTGGGTGGAAAAAATATAGAAAGTAAAGTTTAGGTGGTAGACATATAAATACATAGGAATTCGGTCGTATGTTTGCAAAGGCCTCTTTTTTTATTGCTATTTTAATATATTTTTCTGTAATTTTATTATTTATTTGGAGTTATCTGTTTTGAAGATCAAATAATACAACATTATTATATTCGTTTTAACAGATCATGTATCGTATTATAAAGTCAACCTATAATGCTTACGCTAAGCGATGATTATCAATATATGATCAATTTAAATACATGCCAGATAGTTTTTATACATTTGTATACCCAAAAACGGTCATAAACCCAAGCAAGGCTTCTACATGAGTACTCTTGATTCAAACCGACATGCTGACGTGGTCAAATTAAACCCACGTCACAGTGGTCGAACTGAACACACCTGTCGAAATGGTTGAACTGAACCCATCTGCTGAAGTGTTCAAATTAGTCTGGGGCCAACCAAAGAAGTCCACCATTAAATTAAAGTGCATACGTTCATCCGTTCTCCTATGGATGTCTGGCACCTACATAACAATTTTTTCATCAAGACATTGTGGACATGCATGGTATCGTATGGGATGTAATTTTATAACCTTCATCTATATTTTTTCTTATGTATCGGTGGCATGGGTTGAGGGGTATGTTATGTACCCTTCCACCACAAAAATCATTTCTTCCTCCCCAGAAGATTCAAAAGAAAATGATAAGAGCTCGAGCTCTAGTAACACATCCATTATCTTCTTCCACATCTTCTTTCTAAAACATGATCATTTTCAGATTGTATGAACTTACAGATAATATATGACCTTACATCCTGAAAGGATTCATCAATATTTATATATCTAACACCAAAAATTGAAATGTTCATTTATATAACATTTTAATATGATAACTATATCAAGCCATATGCATGAAAATGTGAATCTTACTTAAAAAATATAAGATTAATAATATTTTGTATGTTATATAAGTAATTATTAGATTGTGGGCGTAAGATATGCAAACACATAAGAATTATGTGTTTATGTATAAAAGTGCCCATGAAGAATATTGTTCCCTCATATACTTCATCTCCCATCACAGAATAACCCAAGAGCACTTTACATGGCTTAGCATGGCTTCTACATGACACAATATCTCGCACCATCTTGTATGTGTGAGAAACTGTAACTTTTGTTAGTTTCATCTTGATTTTGATTTTATATAATCTTAATGTCATATTTTCATATCATATACTATATAATGATGATATTATATTGCTCATCATTTTGTCATAGTAAACCTCGCTTGCAACT